GGTTATCTATTTAATATTAACACATGATAGGCAGTGGTGGTATTGTTGTTGTTGTTATTGTTAATGTCATTGTGATAATCAATGGTACAATTTTGGTGAGTTGTGATTGGTTAAAATATAATGTTGATCTTTTGATAAGGGTAAGCTGATTTCAGTTTTTGTTATAAAAAAAAAAAAAGAAACCAAGGTACTTCTATATATATGAGCAAAAAAGATATCAAATCAAAGGCCTTTCTCTATGCAACCTTCATCCACAAGATGCCCAGTTTTGAGAAATTCGATCAAGAGTCCCATCCTTATGTAGCTTGAGTTTTTACAATCAAATTCTTAAAATTAGCTTATATGTAACAGGTCTTTAAAATATGTAAGGCTTGTTGTATTGGTATTAGAAGAGGTAACTTTTTGTCTTGAAGAAGTAGAGCTAGTCTTTCATCCAATAAATCCAGGATTTGACCTTCTACCCATAACACCTGGTTCTACTTAGCCTAAACCTCTTAGGCTATCGTGAAAGGAAACAACCAGTCAACTTCTTTAGAAGAGAATTTTTATTCTCAATAGTGGTAAAAGAAAAGAAAAAGTTTCTTTTTAGAAGAAAAGATAACTTAACAAGATCTCAAACTTGTCTTATTAAAGTTTTCTAAAAAGGAAAGTTTTTCAAAAATTTGAGGGAAACGAGAAAGAGTTTTATAAAATTAAAACAATAAATTATTAAATAATTGAAAAATTAAAGTTATTAATATTTATAAGAATTATTACTTGATAAATATGCTTTTTATAATATGTTTTTCAGCATTTTCTTGTAAGGTTTTCATAAAACTCTAAATGTTTTTACTAAAAAAATTTCTTGATTATTTTGTAAAAATCTTATATTCTAAGTATATTTTTTTAAAAAAATACTTGTTTTATAATACTTTTAACTATATATTAATTAAATATAATATAAATTTCTGAAAACCTTTGAAAAGATTTAAAATAAATTTGACCTTAATAAAATCATATTTGATAATTAAATGCAAACTCATATAAATTTTTTTTTTTAGGTAAATAATCTTATTCTTTATAATTTTTTACTATTTTAACAATTGATTAATTTTTTATAAAGACTTTTATGAGACTTTATAATTCTTTCAATATTTCTATTAAGGACTAAATATATAAATTAGTATTTATTTTAAATTATAACAAATTTTTAAATATATCTGAAGTTTCTTCAAATATTTTTTATATTGGTATATCAAAAGAAGATTTGAAAATATATTTAAAGAATCCCAATTATTTTTGAAGTGTTTTTGTTTCCATTTCAATAGAAGTTAAAAGTCTTTATTTAGCAATTGTCTCTGGAGTTTTCTAAATACTTATTGCTTTTTTAAAGGACTTTGAAATACTTTTTTAATTTTTTTTAATTTTTTAATAGAACCAGAAATAAGTTTTTGAAACATTTTACATATTTCTTGTTTTTTATTTAATATTAAAGAAAAAATAAGAACTTTAGAAATCTTATATAATACAAATTTCAAAAAATTATGTTATATTATAATCACAAACTTTTTTTATTATCTTTTGAAAATTACTTTATAAATATAAATTATTAAATCATTATATAAAAATAAAATTATTTTATTAATATATTTATTATAACTTATAAATTAAATTTTTGCTTGATAAAATTAATCAATAAAATATTAATTAATTTTATATATTTTTTAGATTCCTTCAAAGACTTTTAACAATAATTACAAATATTAATTTTGTTAACATATTTTTTCAAAACATTTCTTTTTTATAAGATATATTAACAAATATATTTTAACTGTAAACTCTAGTAATAAGTTTAATGAAGATTCAAATAAATTAAAGTTTTCTATCACTTCAAATTGTATTAAAGATATATAAAATATTTTTAAGATATTTTTATCATATTTTATTTTATTAATTAATAATTATTTACTTTTAGACTTTTATAAATGATTTAAAATTCTCTTGAAAATAATTATTCTTTTAATAAAGATTTTTGTAATATTAATTTATTAGAAAATTCTTCAAATAGTTATAATTCTTCAAATTCTTTTAAAGATTTCTTTAATAAATTTTCCAATAAAATATATATAAATTTAATGACTTTTGTTTTAATAAATAAATTGGATACTTTAATAGAAAATAAAATACTTTCTTTTTTTAATAAATATTTTAATTTATCAATTAATCCATTACTAAAAAATATTCAACAAGAATATAAATTTATAAATAATATAAAATATCTGAATTTAGATTATTTTAAAACTTGTGTATTATTATATAATAATATAAAATACTTTTTATTTCATTGATTAATAATTAATTGTATTAAAAATATTTTGGAGGTTCCTAATATTTTTCAAGGTTTTGTAGAAAAATTTGAAATTTTATATTAAAATAATTCAGTAATTAAATTATTTTGTTTAATGTTTAATTTTGTTTTACTTATAATTTATTTATTTATAGAATAATAAAGAAAAAATATATAAAGAACAAAATAATTATAACTGATGAAGAGATACAAAGAATTCTATTCTGTCAGGTTCTAAATTATTTTTAATAATATTATATTTTAATATAACAAATTATAATATTTTGAGAAAGAGTTTATTATATCCAATATACTGTATATTTTATTAAGAAATATATCAACTTGGAGGTATAATAAACTAGATACAAAATAACTATTAGAATATTTGCCAATAATTAAATCAAAAAATATAATGGAAAAACAAATTAAAATTTAAAAAATATATATAAAACTATTTATAAATGTCTAAAGATATTATTTGAACTATTAATTTCAATAAAAAATAGAATTAACTATTTAATTAAAAGCAAAAATATTTAATTTATTTTAAAAATATTAATAATTATATCTAATTGACTTGAAGCTGCAACCTTTTATTTAACTTATAAATCAAGTAATTCAAATAATTTCTATTATTTTTATTCAGTTATAAGAGAAAATCTTGTGAAAATAAATTTATTAAAAAAAAAATATAATATTTTGAAATTATAAAAAATAAAAGAAATGGTTTAATCAAATTTAACAAAATCAATATTAATAGAAAATATCAATAATTTTTTTTAAAGTATTCTATAAGTTTTTATATTTTTTATAATTAATTTATATATTATAAAACTAAATTAAATTTTATTAATTTATAGTGAAATGAATAAATATGAAGCAACTGTATTCAATAAACTGTATTATCTTGATTTGAATCTTTTTCAATATCAAATTAAATATACATAAGAATTATTAAAGAACTTTTGCGATCTTTTATTTTTAAATAAAATAGATTATAAATTTGTATAAATTTTAAAATTTTAGGAATTAAAAAATTTTTTACATAGTATTTATCTGGATATTGATCAGAATGATGTTGATAAAATATTTAACAATTTGAAAAAGTTTCTGAAGAAGTTTGATTTTGAATACTATTAGGTTACTATAGTTGTTGTTATGTAAATATTATATATTTTTAGAATTGAATAAAAATAATAATTAATAAAATCTCACAAGTTTTAAAGAATAAATAATTATTTCAAAGTATTTATATTTTTAAATAAACTATGGAAATTTGAATCAAAAAATTTAAATAATTCAATAAATAAAATATTTCAAATTCTTTTAAAAAACAATAAAAGTTATAAATAAGAATTTAAAAATCTTAAAAATATCTTAAATTATACTTTAATTTTTTAAATATTTTAATAAATAATTTTATATTAATAATATTTGAAACAGTTATAATAAAGAATGATGAAAATTTTCAAGTATCTAATAAATATTATAACACTTTATGGTTTAGTAATATATTGATTAAAATGAATTTTGAAAAATTATATAATTATATAACAAATGATAGAATCTATTATGAAAAGATAATTATAATTATTTAAAATATAAATTTTATTTTATTTTAAAACCAATATAATTTTTTTAGGTTTTATTAGTAATAAAGATAAACAGAACAATTTAAAGATCTTTACTACAATTAGTACTAGTATAATAATATAATTTTAAATTAAAAAAATTATCATATATATATTAATGCATATATTTTAAATTAATAGATATATGTATATAATTTAGTAAATATAAGAACAACAAATAATTTAATTTATATAATTTCAAGATTTGATAAAAGTAATAAATATTTATTTTAATATAATTATTATCATTTTAAAAATTTTTGAAGATTTTTTCAGAAATTTTCTGATACTATATTTATCTACTTAAAAAAAATTTAACTTAAAATTTAATAAAATATAATTAAAAAATACAAATTTTATATTAAATATAAAGCTTTTAAAAATTTAAAAGTTAATTTAATATAATAAAAAAATAAATTAACTTTAATAATATTTTTTAAATATAACAACAAGTATTTTATAATTTATTATAAACTTTATTTTTATTTATTTTTGTATTTAATTTTTATTTATAATTTTTAAATAAATTATAATTTATTAAATTATAATAAAAAACATCAGTTCAATTATTTTTAATTCATACTATAAATATATTATAATAAAGAATTGATGTTTATTAAAAAAAAAAGATTAATTAATTTATAAATAAAAATATAATTTAATTAAAATTTTTTAAGCACAAATTAATAAAATTATAGATATAAATATAATATAATTTTAATTTGAAATTATATAAATTTATATTGACTTGAATATACAGTATATAATAAAATCATTACAATAAGAATCTTATTAAAGAATAGAAATACATGTTAATTATATAATAAGGGTTTTTATTAAATCTAATATATAATAACAAATTATTATTATTATTTATATAAATAATAATCTTGATATAAATAATAGTTTTATAATCATAGATTATCAACTTCTTGGATTATAAAAATCAGTATCTATTTTCCATTCGCGTTATATCGTCATATCACGTGTTAATAAAATATGTATAAAAATAGGTACGGTAAACCGGTTTTTTGTCATCAGACATGTTGGTAAGTGAAAGATTTATTTTGAACAATTTGTGATAATTGTTAATCATTTATTTTTTCGATAATGTTTAGAACGAAATTACCAACACCATAATCAATACAGTGTCTATAGTTTTTAATTGGATATTTGGCATTATTTTTCCGGCGTTAAGGGTATCTATTTCCAAGATTAACGTCTCATCTAGTATTGATTTTATTAATTGAGGAAATTGTTTGTTTATTTATAGAAACTTAGACATCAAAGGACGCCCGAAGAAGAAATACGCAAAGAATTGTCAAATGCAAAGGGCTATGCAGAATGGCTTGAATTAGCACATAAATTGGATGAGTATGTAACATTAATTTTTGCAAATTGTTGATTATATACAATTTCTAATACATAATATATATATATTTCAAAATACCTAGTTGTCTAGGTAATTCTTTGATATTTTTTTCAGGTTCCTATTTAATCATAATTTAATAACTAACCGTTTTTAATAGGCAACGATGAATGGAAATCAAATCCAATTTCTCCTTACTATGATCATAATTTGATTCAAGTTAGATTGAATCATCTTAGACAGGCTAGAGAAAGCAATGACCTTTTATCTATGATCTATACGTTGAGATCAGGTTAATTAAATAATAATTTTCTTTTTATTTTATTTTGATTTTTATAACGATTCACCTTTAAATTTTGATGGTTCCTTAGGCCTTTTACGTAATCTTGGAGGATTAAACGATCCCAGGTTATTCAGTCAATCTTATTTGGGGTAAGCTTGGATACGAATTAAGTAAGACGTAACGATCACAATAAGTAACATATTTGATTATGTAGAACAAAGGGATTGATCGAAGATTACACGAGAGAAGTTGTAAATCAACTCGAATACATTGCTGAACATGATTTTTGCGAAACGCCTAATCTTACCAAGGTCGAATTCTTTAACGATACCCGTCAAAGTTTTGGTTCTACTGCTTTAGTACTTTATGGAGGTTCTTCATTCGGTAAAGATGGATGATTTCTTATTTCATCTATAAAAGGAGTTGCAGAGAATAATTTTGTTGTTCAATTATTACATACAGGTTTATATCATCTTGGAGTCGTAAAGGCTCTTAACGAGAAGGGTCTTTTGCCAAGGATAATTAGCGGAACAGCCGTTGGTGCTTTAATAGCTGCTCTTGTGTGCATTAGAACTGACGAGGAATTACCGGTTAGTGGAAGATTGTTGATGTGTTTTGAAGCATTATCAGCTATTTTAATGGTATTCTTATAGAAAATATTTGAACCTGGCGGCGTTGATCTGGGAGCTTTCGGTAAAGTTGGGAGTAAAGGCAATATTCGAAGGAAGATTAGTCGTTTTCTAAAACACGGTATTAGATGTTGAAGTTTTCTATTTAATTATTAAATAAAATTATGATAAATTTATCTAGTTTTTTCAAGGTTATCTAATGGACATCAAGGTGTTGGAAGAATGTGTCCGAACCAATGTTGGTGATCTGACCTTTGAGGTGGGTTTCTTAACATAAACCTCCGATTAATGTTTAATGTAATATTTGTATAATAATTTAAGTAAATTTTAGGAAGCATATGCGAAAACCAATAGAGTTCTCAATATTACTGTCTCCCCAACGAGAAAGTTCGAGGTTCCTCAATTGCTTAATTATCTGACCGCACCGAATGTTGTGAGTATCAGAGGACTTCACTATTGCTTTTTTAAAGTATACTCGAATAATTGAACTTTATACTAAATCAAGTTGAATAGTTAATATCAAGTGCCGCTTGTGCATCAGTTGCCGTGATTGGTCTTTATGAAAGTTATGAACTGATGGCAAAAGATAAAACTGGAAAGACTGTTCCATGGGCTCCTACAGGTTATCAGTTGTATCTTGTAATCGATATGGTATTTGCAGTCGATTAATTATTATTTCTAACAAACCAGAAATCAGATGGAAGAAATGGACCGATTCAGTTCCAACCGAAAGGTATTTGAACTTGATTTTTTAAAGGAAAAAGTGAAACATATTTACTTAACTGCTCTTAAAAAAATTTAATGCATACAGTGAATCTCCATTGAAAAGAATTACTGAATTGTTCAATGTTAACCATTTCATTGTGTCACAAGCGAGTACTGCAATTGCTCCATTATTATCCCGAGAACAAACCACCAGAGCGTCGTTGTTGGTTAAATGTGGCCATTTTATTTCAACCGAAGTCAGACACAGGATGTCACAGGTAATTTCTTCATTATAATATTGTTTTTTGAAATGGTAAAATATTAATTTGTTGTACTAATATATAACAGCTTGAGCAATTGAGACTTCTTCCAACGGTTTTCCGCGGGTTGGTTGATGAGAAGGTGTCCGGAAATGTTACGATTGTGCCCTCCATCACCTTTTCGGTATGCACACGCTTTTTGATTAAAAGATATGCAAATTAGACTGACGACCATAATATTTCATTTATAACCTTAATTATTATACAGGATTTTAAGAGTCTATTATCAAACCCAACGCATTCCTCTTTGGATAATTGGATCTTAAAAGGAGAACAATCTACTTGGCCTTTATTAGCATTGATAAAGAGTCGATGTATGGTTGAGTTGGCTCTCGATCGAAGTAAGTTTTTACTAGTATTATGTTTTTGACGGATTTCTAAGTTTAATTTTGGATTCATTTACCTTTTCCCGTAAAACTTTAGTCTATTTGAGGTTGAAAACAGTACCACCGACTGAACGTGGATATCTTTTATACAAAGAGAAAACCAGTAGGAGAAAACGTACCAAATCTGTTCATTGAAGATTAATTTTAAAGTTAAGAAATTGAATATAAATAATGAGTTGTTGGGTGTACACCTGATCTCTGGTGCGAAATGATCGATTGTCCTGAAAGCCATAAATTAAGGGATATTTCTTGGATGCTAGGAATATGCAAAGGAAAATCTCCAAGATTTTTGAAATAAACAAAAATTAGGATTTTACCTGGAATTTTTTTTTAAAAAAAAATCAATTCAAAATATTTGAATGTTTACTTTAAAATTTTCAACTTACAATATTATATCTTTTATGTAAAAATGGTAAATTATAGAATTATATAAAATTATACAAATTTACAAACATAGTAAAAATTATATGTACAGTAAATCAAACAATTATATATATATATTTTATTAAATATTTAAAAAGATTTTATTTTTAATAAATATTAACATCATAAGCTTAATCAAAAATTAAATAAATAAATAAATAAACTTCAAATTAAAAATCCATAAAAATTTTTTATTGTATAACAATACAATACTTATTATTTTTTTTATTTAATAAAGTGTATTTAATTTTGTATAAGACAATTATTAATTATAATATTATTAAATAAAAATATACTGTGATTAATATATATTAGTTGAATTAACATGCTATATATTTTAAAATTGATTAAAAAGTTTTTTTTTTAATTAAAATTATTAAAATTAATTAGAAATAAATATATAGTATTTTTAAAAAATATATTTAACAAAGTTTTAAATTTATTTGTTTAATTAATTTAATTTATTAATTTATTAATTGTATTTAAAATATTTTTTTTTAAAAAAATGTTTAAATATATTTATTGTATATATTATACAATGCATATAATATATGTATATATTTGAATAAATATATTTAAAAATTTTTATAAATTTGTAATAAAAAACTATATATTTATTTATTTAACAAAAAAAAATATTAAATTAAATTAAATGGAAATTTTTTTTGTAAGATATTTTATTTTAATTACTTAATAAAAGCATAAAAACAAATAAATAAAAAATAAATTTCTATTATAAAAAATATATATGGTTTATGATTATACAATATAAAAGTAAGTTGTATATAAAAAAAAAATAATGTTTTTTGGAATTATAAATTTGAATAAATTATTGATTTTAATATTATTTATTTTATTAACTTAAATAAAATTAAAAAAATTTAATGATGTAAATAAATAAATATATATACTGTATATTTTATGTATCCATTATTTATATATTAATGTTAAATAATTAATTATAAAAAATTTTTTTATTTATCATAAGCACTTATATTTGTTAAAAAATAATAATATTGTCAGTAATAGATTACGGAAATTCGAAGATACTGTATATACACATTCAGATAGTATATAGATAAAAACTATTATTTTGATAATTTATATTCTTTAAAAAAGTGTTTTTCGAGTTGTTTGATTTTATAAATTGACGCGTCCAGATTTCGCAGATTTTGTTTTGAATTTTGCTGATTGTTTAGTGGGAAAAAAGTTTTTTTTATAACGCCATCAAACATGCACCATGCTTAAAAAGGTAGATACCGAAAATTATCTTGATGGTTTTGGTAATTTGTGTACATTGTATTCTGTATTTTGATTGGTGATCACCATTCCATAATAATGTTATCGATGAAAAAACGCATCAATGTTGTTGAGTTTGAATTTTTACCACGTATGTACTATTGAAACGACTTTCGAGTCATTCTGACAGTTTTTTTTCATAAATACTCGTTACTTTTGACAATATAAAGATAGATTATTCTTACCTTGACACCAAGATATTCTCAGTGACAAACCTTTGAAGTATACATATTTCATAAGTATGAGTAAGAGAAAATGTGTTAGAAAGTCCAGGTACGTTATATCAAGAATACTAATATATGTATTATTATGAATGAGGTGATTTAAAAAGAAAAATTCAATTTAATTTATTTAACTCGAATATCTCAGTAAACTATCTGGTCAAGTGGAGGAGGGTGAGAAAGTTGGAAGTTTGGGAGGTGGATCAATTATTGATGGCATAATTGACATTTGTATGCATGATGGTGAAGAATATGCACTTGTAACTTATCTAGGTACCAATGATATGTCTTTTTAAATCGATCATCATTAACGTTTCGAGGTTTACAGTTATTTGATCGTGAAATACTTTGCAGATAAAAATTTTGATCCAAAGTGGCATCCCATTAGGAATTTGATCAATGCAGACCACTTGGTGAATGAGTATAGACAGATCGAAAGGAACGCTAGTCAGCGTGCTGCTCAGAGACTGTCTAATCAGGTATAGCAAGTCTGAGTAAAAAAAATTTTAACTGATATAAGAAATAGTAAATTTATAAAAAAAAACCTTTAGGGAGAAGAAACTGCTGAGGCTAGTCAAAGGGTACAATCACAAACGAATTCAACTTGTGTACCATCCCAGGGTCTCACCGAAGAACCAAATGATCAGATATCTCAATCACGAAGGTCGCCGTCAGTCGATTCGAGTAATAATTCTATGGATGATCCTTGGAGCCAAAATTCAAAATCTCAAAAGTCTTCACCGGAAAGTCCAGCTAAAAGGTCAAAGGACAATACAAAAAAAAAGGTCATAAAGCGTACATCGTCCACCCGTGGTGAAAATTCTAAAAATGTGGTAGTTACAAAGAACATTGGAAAATCAAAAAAAAAAAAATATCGAGGCAAAGTACAGCAGATCGTATTCATCGAGTCGGGGAGTGAAGAATCAGATGCAAAGGTTGATTATGCTTCTGCCCATGAAGATGATATGGAATTTGATAAACCAACTAATGTTAAAGAAGACAGCAAATCAACTAACGATAATGAACAAAAGAAATCGAATAACTTTTTTGATGAACTCTCAAACAGTGATTATGATGCATGGGAATTACCAGGTGTACAATTGTGCCATGTTATATTTTTTTTCACTGCATTTTTCAATGACCTAATTTTAATGTGATACGCGATTCAGACGATTCACCTAGTCCATCTCCAGTCGAAAAATCTCCTAAAAGGAAAAAGAGTTCTTCAATCGCCACCGTGGATATTGCGGAAAAAAAAATGAAAAATGTCAAGTCCGAGGAGATTTCGATATTTCCGGAGCCAGTTGAGGTGCCTATGAGTGTAAGCTCATCCTCATCTTCAATCATAAAGAAATCTACTCCCTTGAAAACCAAATCCAAGAAAACCTCAGGAAATGTTATGCCTGATATAACGCCTAATATCAAGCTGCATGTATCATTTAAGAACGATTGTTGCATATATTTCTTGATTTCCATAAACAATTATTGAATTAATATTGAATTTATGTAAATTTAGGGAACCGAAGGATAATGACAATTATTTTTGGATGGGGCAGTATTCGAAGCAACAAGAAGTGGAATCGCGAAATAAGATTACAAAAACTTCAAATTTATTACATGATTTATTAGAGCGGCCTGAACAGTCACGATCAGAAAATTCTAATTTGTCGCATTATTATTCTGGACAAACTGCTGAGCAAATGGAAATGGATTTTTATTCAAAACAACAAAGCACAAATAAAAATTTGCGTATTCCTTTTGAAAATCAAGAGGATAGTGTGCAATCAAAAATCCAGAAAGCCGAAAAGGAATATATTTCAATGAACAATCCATTGGAAAAGATTCATGGATCAAAAAATTCAATTGAAGAAAATATGCATAATACATCTCGAGCTTCTTTTAGTAGTCAAAATGTTCGAGATGAATATGCACAAAAAAAGCAGAAATTAATGCATAAGTCTACGGCAGAAATTAATATTCCTCCATCGTTTACTTTGGACGTTCCAGTGAAACGCGAGGAAGAAGACCTTCCAAACTTACATTCTATAACTCAGAATTCATTAAGCTCATCTAGGTCATCGTTTATCGTGTCAAATCAGAGGGAGGAGCAAAAATACTCTGAACGAATTCCGTTAAATCAAGATGTTCCTGCACTTTTAACAAACACTACGCGCGATAATGATTTGAATCAGTTTAAGCAAAGCTCACAAAAAATGACTGGTGCTTCGGTTCTGACAGAAAATACTTCCAGAGCAAAAAAAGGAGTAATTAAGAAACCAACTAATAGATCTCTTACACAAGTAGAACCTCTCGAACAATATCATCTAATATCGTTAGTGGTTTTGTTTTGTTTTTTTGGCATCAGCGATTTACTCAGCAATTAAATGGTATTGATTATTCTTTATTTGAAAATTCAGAAATGGCCCAACACAATGGGTTGGATCCTTGATAAAAGGTGATCTGGTACAGTTTGGTGGAAAGGTAACAGTCAAACCAATGGAGGGGAGATGCAAAAATAGTTCCACTTTGTAAGTTTGTTGTATTAATATTTTATTTAATTGATTTACTCTTATCTGTCTAAAGATTTTTGTTTTTTGTTTTTTAGAGAAATGATAAAACACAACACCGAATTGTGGATGGAAAACATGCTGCCACAAGCTTATGCAGAAAAATTGGTTGTTGCAAATGATCCTGAAAAGTATCCTATGTTTACAATGAATGCAGTGGAAAATAATCCTACATCCAAGAAAAATGTGGAGGAGGAAAACACCTTGATGAAATGGAATGAAATTGTGAGTAATTGTTCTCAGAATTTATTTATTATTTATATTTATTTTTTTTTTTAAAAAAAAAAAATTCACCCTAATCACAGGTAGGAGTAATTTGGCTTGACAAGGCAGAAAAATTGTGCTGGCTAGTTTTTCCTAATTCACAGCGTACATGCGTGACTCTTGCCATTTCACCACGTCCAAGTGAAAAGTTCATAATTATACCGAGACGTATTTGTGTCGATGACATTTCGGATTCAAGTCTCATAAATTTATCTGAGACTGATCCTTTATCCGATTCCAGACTTTTATCAAATGAATCGTATCATATGGTGCAATTAGTTATATTATCTAATAATTATACTGCATTACCGGACATTTGTAGTAATGCTTCAAATTTTGCAGTCTTTGGACCAAAGGACAATTTTGAAGTAGAGGAAATGGTTGATGCATGTAAAGGCTTAAATGTAAATTATGATCATGATTTCAGTGGCGATAATATTGATCTAGTATTGGTAAGTTTTTTATGCTTAGATTTGACAAATGAATACTATGTATCAGAAAAATACTAATGCTTGAGTTTGGCAAACATTTGCAGATTCATATTCAATACTTTAACCAAATAAACTATATTCCACGCTTGATAGAATTAAAGCACAACCCAGGTTGTAAATTTCGTTTGTTTGGATGGAACATTGTTTCGGCTGATCCTGTGAACCTTGTTGAATGTTTTCCTAATGGTACGTGGATTCACTTAGTGTTTGAGCTGTATTACATTTTTTCTTAATTTTTTCATTGTTTCCTCTGACCCTTCAAGGGTGTGTGGTCACTATCACACCAAAGCTATTGTTATCTTGGGCTCGGGATGTTATCCAGCGAATTAGGAATATTACTAATCAGGTATATGAAATAATCAATCATTTCATTTATAAAAGGTTGATCGAATATTGTAACAAACTTTCCCACTAAATAATGTATTTAGCAGCGAACAGAAAATGGTGGGGAATGGTACATAAAAGTTCATCCGCTACTGAAAAGTTATTTGGAGTACACTTTCAACAAGGATCAGAGCAGAGAGTGCGTTTAACCGAGATTTTTGAGATTTCGTTTTTTATATTATGCTCATGTTATTCTAATGCATCCATCATTTAGGGCCGAGGAAGCATTACATTACTTGAACAAGCATTTTCAATTGGGAAATTTCAGCTATTTTAACGAAGAAGAATTATACCTTTTGCAGGTATTTTGGTTTAGTTCATTCATAATCATTTTCTTCATGCAAATCCTTATATAATTACCTATTTTAATGTCGACAGGGCTCTCTCGAAAACGATTCTCCTTTTATTAACAAGTTGCACTACATGATGACTCGGTATCACAATTTAAATGTAAGAAATCTGCGTCATGTAATTGTGATTCAGGATGAGTCCGAAGTTGGAATTTTTTGCCTGCCTATAGAAGGGGTTTGTGTTTTTCCTTTTGGTTTAACGATCGCCACCGTTTTCACTTGACATGCATCATTTATGTTATTTAAATTCATTGAAAAATAGGTTGAAAGGATGACTCTACCTGAATTCCAATCAAAATTTGGACCATCTAAGTAAATGATGTTATTTTTTATAGTGGGGATAGGTTTTTTATGACAATGTGATTACTGTGTGTGACCAAAGCTACTGAAAATTATGGTTAGTAATGATTTATGATGGATGAATAAATCAATATTATGAGGCTGTTTGTGAATGATATTTTTAATATGTTCGTTAACGTGGCGGCTGGAATCCGCAAATAAAAGGTCCCAGGGAAACTGAACTGTAATCAAATGAATTTGTCTATCTTTAATATGAGGGGATAGTGTGTCTAGGGATATTCTTTACGTGCAACATTTTCACATTAAATTTCCGCCTGTGAGATAACTTGCATACACCGTATTAAGGTTAATCAATAACTTAAATAAACTTATTGACGTATTCATCGGGATAATCTATGTTCATTTTTTCGGTGGATAGGATGCAACGCATGCTGCAATAATCGCGTGAATTTGGATAATTGTTTTAGAAAAAGAATTTTCTTCTTCAGGTCCCGTGTGTAACAATCATGCTTTCTATGTTTATGCGATTATAGATCACGTGATTTTTCAATTTACGCGAGTCTATATAAGGGTTTTATTGTTTCCACTTATAGGTAGGTTAGCAACCGGTCTCTGGATTTAACTCCGAGGCGTACTTTAGTACCACCTTTGAAAAACACTTATATCTACAAATTTGTATTTCAACAAACTCATCAATTTGCAACTTTAGTTGCGCATTTTACATCATGGATAAATTTTTATTTTCTCTTCAAATGTCTAAAGCGCAAGAGAGTGTTAAAAGAGGGAATGAGAATTCTAATGAGAACACGGGTCCAGAGTCAACATCAAATACACCGGAAAACATTTCGGATAATGTTGTAAATAATCCCATCGAAGTTTCCAAGGATGATGATGGCGGTGTTGTGACCCAACGCCCTCCGCAAAATTCCACTGAGGTTCTAAATTTGCCTGAAAACAAAAAGGAAATCGGTTCCCCTGGAATCATCGATACGGTTCAAGTTATCTCCCAAGAAAACGATGGTATTATTTCGCAAGCTCACGTTGAAGTTACAAATAGTAATATCCAACATAAATTGGAGGATTCAACACTAACACTTAATACATCTCAATCTAATTTACAAGACAAATCTTTCGACGCTGCAGATATGATTAAAGGTCAGGGCGAAGGGTTAGCAGCTGACGTCATTAGAACGGTTCAGAACCTGGATCATGGTGAAGGATCAACACCTAATGTCGCGAAGGAGACCCAAAGTCTAGATAATTCCACAGAACCACCTAAGGTGATCGATAAAACTCAGAATCAAGGTGGAGGGTTTACAAGCTTGACGGAAACGGTTCAAGGTATATATGATGCCTCAGAACCTCCTAATGTTACTGGTGAAACGCAAGTTCAAGGAGAGTCTACTTCTTCTGTTACGGTGGCAGTCCGAAGTCAGGATCAAGATGAAAAGTTAATAAGTAATTTTGCGAGAACAGTTCAAAGTTTAGAGAACGTCTTTAAATCTTCCGGTGTTGATGAAACTCCAAGTCAAGATGGAAATTTAATAAATAATGTCACAGGGGACGGACTAGATGGTGCTTCCAAACCTCCTGGTGTTATCAGTGAAAATAAAAGTTTAATTGAGAAGTCAATACTTAATGTCACAGAAGTGGTGCAAAATATTGATGTTACTATTGAATCTCAAACTCAAGGTGGAAATTCAATGGCTAATGTTACAGATGCGGCTCGAAAATTTGATACTATCTCCAAGATTTCTGGGGTTACCATTGAAACTCAAAATCAAAATGAAAAGATATTCAATGTCACGAGTACGATCCAAAATTCTGATGATATCTCCAAGCTTTCTAATATTAATGAAACTCGAAGTCAAAACGACGAGGTACCTAATGTCACGGGGGTGGTTCGTGATGCTGTTGATGCCACCAAACCTTATGATGTCATTGAAAAGGTACCTAATATCGCTGATGAGGCAGTTCGAAATTTTGAGAATGTCTCCGAATATCCTGGTGTTGTTAGTGAAAATAAAAGTAAAAGCGAAGAATTAACACCAAACGTCACAGAAACAGTTCGAAATTTTGACAACGCCACCGGAATTAATCACGAAAACCGAGGTCAGATTAGCCCACTCGAACATCTTGGAAGCACGGGTGAAGCTCAAGTTCAAAGTGGTGGATTCGCTCCTAATGTCACGGAAACGATTCGAAATGTGAATAACATTTCAGAGCTTCCTATAGCAGTTGATAAAGACCAAAGTCAACATGATAAACCAATATACAATACCACAGAAACGATTCAAAATAGTGCTTTATCAGCTTCCACAAGTTTATCCTCTGCACTTCCTGAAATTACAAATGTTACATCCGTATCGAAGCAAACACAACGTGAAAAATTTAATGATGTTGCATCCCATAAACCTGACCCTGATGGAAACTCGCTGGTCTATATTGTTCCACATAGTACTATCGAGACTATTTCAGAATCGTCAGTCGTGTATAAATCTAGTGATGCTCGGTTACAGCCCTCAAACGAAATCTTGCCTCATGATCGCGACGTGGGTAAAGTCAAACCTCCGATTCCTCCGAGGCCGAGGCTGAAGCCTAAGAATAAAAGTCCTATGACGTTTTCAAATCAAAATATTAATGAACATTCTGGTAAAAGAATTTCTAATGACTCTAGCGATAAGACTCCTAACACATCACAACCTCAAAACATTATCAGTCAAGATTTCAATCAAAAAAGTTTCGGACCACATACACCCGTTCAAGTTGTAGTACCGTCTAATGATTTACCGCAGTCGCAACAAAGAGTTGGTCAAGATCAAAGGAATTTTGATGTATCCGCACCGTTTGGACCATATTTTAATAACGACGCTAATAAAAAAACATATGACGTACCAGTACAACGGAACGTCAGTCAAGGTTTCAATCCAAGTCATATTGCAGATTCGACTAATGACACACTCGTACAACAAAATGTCGATCACATTACATCTGCGCAGCAGCATGCCGGGAAAGGTTTCTATCAAACCTCTATCACAGGTGTACCACTGGAGCGGAAGGATGTTGCACCTGAACAATCTAGTGTAAGTCAAGACTTCGAACAAAGGCCTAATACACCTACGTATGCACAAATTGCAGGTTCGACTAATAATGATGCGTTGATGGGACAACGGAACGTCACTCCCGCACAAGTTAGGGAAACCGTGAATCCTCACAACCTTGATAAACCAGCCCAACAGAATTTTGGCCAAGGGCCTCCTCCTATTCCTAAAAGGCCTTCTATCCCTCCAAGACCACCGAAAAAAATAGTTATACCTGTCGAAAAGAGTAACGAACCTTCAAATACACCGGTGGTTAATCAAAAGTTACCGGTATCTACGCCTACAGATAATCCTTTTAGTGACAAGAACACTGTTGATGGTATTAGAAAGGAATCAACGGAAAAGAAGAATGTACAAAGTGCACGTGAAAAAGTGTCACCTGAGAAAAAAAAGATTTTAAATCCTGAGCAAGGTGATGAACTTGTGACTCAATTTATTACGGAGAACAACAGAGCGGATTATGACTCTCCCGATAATAGTGAACAATATTCTCACGGGAGCCAAGCTAACTCACCTAGTCAAAATAACTCTGTCGAAATTTTTTCACAAACAATTCCTTCGGACAATGATGCTAGAAAAATCGGGAAAGATTCTGATTATAGAGTAGACTTCAGAGTTCACCATACCGAACAAACCCTCCGAGAAAAAGACGGAGAAAACGATCATCAAAGAAAGGATTCACAAACTAGCAACGTTAAATCAAATGAATATGCGAGTGATTCAAATACCATGACCAAAAATAACGAAGATGATTCGTTTTACGAAACCTTCAAGAACAATGGGTTTGAACAACATAATTCCCAAAGAATTCCAGGTTCAAACGTTGGGCGCAATCATCCTCTAGATTCCTCAGGAAATAGCGACCACTATCCCATCATTCAAGAAGGTATTTCAGCTAAATCTGAAGGCGGTAAATCCTGGTATAATAAAATTCCATTTTTTGGTAGCAAGAATGACGATTCTTTCCAAACATGCAAAGTTACTTTTCATGTGCACTTGCCACAAAACGTTGAACGTCATGGTCAGCCAATGGTGATAGGCAGTTGTGAAGAATTAGGAAGATGGAGTCAAGTTGGAATCATGCTAGAACAGCCTGATAGAGGTCGTTTCCCAACTTATTGGAGATCAGAAACTGTCGATATTGTTATTTTAGATGAAATGGAGGAAATTAAGTATAAG